CGAACACAATTCAGTTAGCCCTGTCCCATCAGTCATGTAATTCAATACTTGTGAGGCCGATGCAGCAAATGGGTCCTGATGAAAATGCATTCATTCTTTGAGTGTTGGTCCAAAATACTCTTTGTAGCTCCAAATGTTATCTTAGCGCAATAACCACATAACTGAGAATATGAATATTGTGATCATGTGATAAGCTGAACGTCCCTTGGTGGTATCAAGTGTTGTGTATGTGTCAGCATTTTCTGTGGACAATAAGCAGCCCGTCATTTTTTTCTTGATTTTCATTCAAGTTCCACCCTACATCCATACATCCCGATACAGATATTTTTCTCATTTGTGAATCTGTTATGAACCTTGTGATGGTTCATATCTGTGGCGTGGTGGTAGCACATACACTCATGACATAAAGGGTCACAGGTTTGAATCCTGACTGTATTGTTTCCCGATTTCCCTCATTCCCACTGTCAATCCTCCCTGTCCTATATAATAAAAGGCATAAAACAGCCTCGAAGACCCTGCGCTGTCTTATATTCATGTCTTTTATAAGAACGGACACAGTCTGACCGTATTTCCTCTCATAGAGACCCTCCCTATACCACGGCCCCGCATGAAGCCCTCTCCCCAGCGCCGTGCTGTGTCTGTCCATGAGGACTCTCTCCTCCAACACGCCGCCATGCTTGACCCTGAGGGTGAGCATCTGATGTCTCATACCTGTCACTCACAATATGTCAGTTGCATTCACATTCACGTATTTCTAAACAGCTCTCTGAATAATCCTGTTCATGTTAAATCTGAGCGATGTTTTGAAGAAGATGATGTTGCTAGCTGCTGATGTTATTGCTAGTCAGGTATTTTAAGGAGGACGGACATTGTCATACTGGAGAGAATGTGTCATGCAACTTTTTGGAGGCAATTAGCATTTTGCTATTTAGCATTTAGCATTGACAAAAGTATTGGAACACCCCTTTCTAATGAACAGGTTTGGCTACTTTAGTCATTTCCATGAGTACAAATCTTAATGTTAAAGCATATAATGATATTCTAGGAAACTGTGTGCTTCTAATTTTATAGCAACAGTACACTGGACAGGACACTTTTCTATTCTAACATGGCAATGCCTCCGTGTATAAGGCAAGGCTCAAAAAGAAATGATTGATTCAGTCAGTGTGGAAGAACTTGACAGGTCTGCAGAAAGCCAAGTCCTAATCTCAGCTGAACACCTCTGGTTTAACTTTAAATGCAGACCTTGAGCCAAAAACTCATCACCAAACACCAATGACTTGTACATGTGGGAACAGTCATTTTAGACACTTCCAAAACTGTTGCAACAGAGATGGAAATATAATTTTTAAATGCATATATTGTGTTTCCATCTTTGTTGCCACAGTTACGGAAGTGCCTTTATCTGTTCTAAAGAAGGGGGTGTCCCAATACTTTTGTCCATATAGTGTACATACCATTTAAACAGTTGGGGTTGGTAAGATGTTTTCGAAAGAAGTCTCTTGTGATCATCAAGGCTGCAATTATTTGATCAATAATACAGTGAAATTGTGAAAATATTACTAAAATTTAAAATATGAAATTTAAAAATTAGTTTTCAGCAGCCATTGCTCCAGTCTTCAGTGTCACATGATCCTTCAGAAATCTTTCTAATATGCTGATTTGCTGTTCAAAAGCCATTTCTTATCATCAATGCAGAAAATAGTTGCTGATTAGTATTTTTGTGGAAACTGTGATACATTGTTTGATGAATAAAATAGTTCAATAGAATTGCATTTGTTTGAAATATAACTTTTTGGCAACATTATAAATGTCTTCACTATCATTTTTGATACATTCAATGCATCCTTGCTGGGTAAAAGTATTAATTTCTTATAAAAAATCTTACTGACCCCACACTTTTGAATGGTATTGTAAATGAATTCAAATCTAAAAGACGTAGACTAAAAGACACAAATGTTGATGCTGATTTCTTGGGTTAATTAAAACACAAAATGCATTTCTTTCTGTTCGCTTTTTTTTTTTTCTGCAAGCAACAAATCTACTATATGGCACTTTTCAATAATGCCAGTTATTATGGCCTCTCTTATAAAAAAAAAAAAAAAAAAAAAGAGTAAATCAATACCTATACTTGTTAATAATGATTAAAAAGTGAATTCTGTTCGTGTCATTACGAGTCCTGGCTTTTTCATGGATGCGAACATGCTTGTCTCTCTTCCCTTTCTCAAAAATACTAGTTTCTCTTAGCTCAACTCGAAAGTTTGGCAATAAAACGATTGGCAGGGATTTGATTAAACTTGAAGTGATAGTTCTAAGCCTGTATGAGTTGCTTTCTTCTGTTGAACAGAACATATTTTCAAGAATGTTGGTAAAACAAACAAAAAAACAACAACAACAGTTGACAGTAACCATTGACTTCCACTGTATTTTTTTTCCATACCATGAAAGTCAATGGTTACCGTCAACTGTTTGATAACCAGCATTCTTCAAAATATGTTCTTTTGTGTTCAACAGAAGAAACTTATACAGGTTTGAAACAACTTTAGGGTGAGTAAATGAAGACAGAATTTTTTATTTTTGGGTGAACTATCGCTTTAAAGCAACTGTATGTAGTTCTGTCAGGACCACTATCGTCAAAATGATTGACACTTAGCATACAATTTGGTTTGGCGGTATGGTTCTGTTCTGGGCAAAAACTCCCTGCCCATCCATGCAGCCTGTCATGAATGAGCAGGGAGAGCAGCAATTATAACCCCCCCCCCTAGGGTAAACGGAATAGAACAAAGCAGATATTATTAATGTACTTAATGATATTTAAGTGTGTAACAACATTATTTAAGACAAAGGAGTCTGATTCAACGAGGGATATCAGAAAGCCAAGTCCTGACTGTGGCGAAAGGAGGAGTTGGGGATGGAGGAGGGCAATTTGCTCATGAGCAAGTGAAAAAGCTGCTGAATAATACTGAACAGAGCTTATATAGGAATGTCGTATTCCTATAGGTAGATGTGATAAGCTGAGAGTCAGCCGATGCAAGCTTGACTCGTGTTACCTGCCAGAACTAACGCTATAGGCTTAATTTTGGGGAATTTTGGGACTTTGGGGCCCCCTACAGTTAACAGAGTGGAACTAACTGTCGAAAATATCTGATTGTCGTAATTACAGTAGATACATGTACCAAAGCCATCTCTGCACGAGCATTTGTTACTGCCGTAAAGTAATCCACCCTTTTCGTGTAATTTAGGACCTGCTCACTAAATTTGCATCAAAAATAGTCTTATTATTTGCCTTATTAACTTGAAGCGGCTTTGCTTACATACTCACAGAACAAGACGTTTGGAGGGATCATAGGAATATTAGAAGTCTTTTTAGAAGTCAGAGTACCATCAGAATTATTTTGAAACTGATATTTCAAGGTTAAAACTTACATACAGTTGCTATATATACATTACAACATGTAAAAGGAAAGTAAATCTTTCTGCAGTCACCCAGCAGGACCTCTGAACTGTTATTGGCACAGAGCATTTTTAGCTCCCTGTCGCTGGACATGATTGTAGTGCACTTTTCTTATTTAAAGGGGTCATATGATGCTGCTAAAAAAACATTATTTTGTGTATTTGGTGTAATGAAATGTGTTTATGCGGTTTAAGGTTAAAAAAACACATTATTTTCCACATACTGTACATTATTGTTTCTCCTCTATGCCCCGCCTTTCTGAAACTCGTCGATTTTTACAAAGCTCATCGGTCT